TGCGCGTCCGGGGCCCCCAGGCGAGGGGACGCGCTTGGCCTGATCTATGCAACTTTCCACGGGGCTCTGACCGCCCTCCGTGGCCTCCCCCCGCGCCAGCGCGCGGACTCGCCTCCCCGGGGCTCCGGAAGGGAAGGAGGCGTGTCCGGAGCAGGCGGGAGGGAGCTCTATAAAAGTGCTGGCGGCGCGCCGGCCGGGGCTTCATTCGCCGCCTTGCGCCGGGACCGGGAGCGCCGCGGGGAGCACGGGCCGTGGAGAGGGCGCTGCGCTCGGGCTACCCAATGCGTGGACTATCTGCAGCCGCTGCTGGTGCAATATGCTGGAGCTCCAGAACAGCTAAACGGAGTCGCCACACCGCTGCCTGGGCTGGATCACAGCGCTGCCTTTCCTTATGAAGAAGACACAAGTGAGTAGGGCTCCCCCGGGTGCTCGCGGGCTCCCCAAGAAAATCGCGCCCGGAGGCCGGCGCGTCCCGGCACTAACTGCGTCCCCGGGGCGTGCGGGTCTGTGCTGGCCCGACCCGCCGGGAAGGTGCGGGGGAGGCAGGCGTGGCGTGCGAGCAGGAGCCGCCGGCCCGGGTGAGCCGGGGAGAGCGGGAGGGGGAGTGATGAGACGGAGCCCGTGCCAAGTTTGCCGCCGCGGCCGTTAAGTTTGGAGCTGTCAGTAGGGAGCCGCAGTTCCCGTAAGGAGGAAGGAGCTGCTCTTCGGTCGGAGAGTTTCAGTTATCCTGGAAAGGCACGTCTTTGCACGGGAGACATGTTCCCTCGGGTTCCCGGAGATTACAAAACAGCTCCCCGTACGCCACGCGGGCTCGCTCGCTCGCTCTCGCACCCAGATTTGCGTGCAGCCCCAGGTGGGCGTGGGGCTCGCGGGGACCCGAGTGCAACCGCGGGAGCGACGCCGACCCTGAGTTCCTTAGTAGCAGCGCCCCCGGGGCAGGGAACCTGCCCGCCCGCCGCGGAAACTTGGCTCCGGGAGCATTTGCAGGGTTTGCAGCTCGTGGGGAGCTCTGCAGAGAGCTCTAGGGGGGGTAGTACCTCCACATCGCACTCACCTTCTTTCATTATAGGAGAGAAAGTTTCTTTCTTTTTTTTCTTTTTTTTTAATGGGCACCTCTAATGATAGTTTTTGAGGTAATTCTCAGCGCTGCTAAATTGTGCATTATACACTTAAACACTGGGTAAAGCACCGCCCAGGGGTACAATTAGATTTTTCTTTTTTTCTTGAAGCAGATATGTGGCTTGTCATTTAGAAAGGGCCCCCTCGGTACTGCTATCCGCAGTTCTTTCCACCGCGGCCGTTTTACCTCTTCTCACTTCTCCCCTTTGGAATTGTTGTGAGTATCTGCCCCGGGTTGGGTAAAGCTGCCCTTTCACCCCCCAGAGGCTCTATCGGAGATTGCAACTCCCGAAATGCCTGGAAGGGGTAGAAGTGTTGGGGGGAAAAGGGAGATTAGGGGTGTGTACAAATCGTCAGTGAAGAATGAAGGCATCAATGTGCGGAAGATGCTGTATTAAATGCCCTGCTTCGTGTCATATTTTAAATAGATGGCCAGGCGTGGGAAATACATCCAGAAGGCACAAGGAAGCCTGCAGCCCGTTGCACCGGTGCGGGAAAGGGCAGGGGGAAGGGACACTGCCTGGTAGAAAGGTTTGTGCGGCTTCTAGGGCAGCAGCCTTAGGGGAGAGGGAGGGAGAGGGCACATTCCTCCCTTGCAAGCAGGTTGGCTTAAGCGCAGAGCATTGAAGGCCACACCTGGGATCCCCACAGTGTGCTGTTGAAATGCCAGGGTTAAAGCCTGGGAACGCAAGAGAAGTTACAATGTAATTTCTTGATTTGCACAGGTTTTCTGCTTTGCAGGATTGGTAAGGAAGGGTGCGGAGCCAATTCCTGTTATAGTCGTGGCTGCTCACATGAATGGTAGTGGTGAGATCTGGGTGGGGGAATCTCTACTAGTTCAGAAAAAGAGCCTAAACCTGTTTAAACAAGGGCAGTGGAGACAGATCAGGTTAATGACCAACACTCCAAAGGAGGGCGACATACTATCATGTCACTTTGAGTGTCAGTAGGATTGATGATCCTTGCACCCTTGCTTTACGAAACACAGGTGAGCTCTGTAATCTCCTTTCTGACTTTGATTAAATGGCAGTGTAAATCTGATTACATGGAATAATTCCATTGAAAACTAGAAAGAGGTCCATCAAGCCTGAAACTTGATGGCGTTAGTGACTCAGTGCTTCGGACCAGGGACATTTGAGACAGCTAAGTATTTTAGAAATGTGACCTGCTCAGACCAAGTTAAAGTGCAAGCCCTTTGGGGGAACTTGCCGATGTTAAAGGACTTGCAGGCATAGGAAGGCAGTGCCCTTGTTGAATGAAGACATTCATTGCCTGGGATCTAATGACCTTCAAGGTTTCCTTTAAGGATACTTCTAGCAGTTCCACATTCTTGCCACTGAAAAGGGGAACACTGGAAACAGCATGAAATCAATAAAATAATCCGTGGAAATAGGGGAGGGGGATTACATCCTGGTTCATATTGCTAAGTTTTCTAATCTTAAATTTTCTGTGCAACCCTGTGTGGATGGAGTAGCATAAGGAAATCAGAGATTAAGAAGATGAATTGTTCTACAGAATCTAATGTTATCCTTGCCAGTGAGGAATGTCTATTAAATCAATAGTTTAAACGGTCATTTATAAAGATGGCCTCAATAGCAAAGTTCTATTCTAAGGCAAACAGTTTTGTGCTCTCCCACTACCCAAGATGTAAAACTAGAATTTAATAATAATAATAATAGTAAACTTTAATTTGAATTATGCAGCTCTCCAAGAATCATGGGTGCACCAGACATTCTGGCCTTTCAGTTAAGCTAAATAAGTGTGAAAAATCCATCAACAACCAATTGGGGTTTGATAAATGATTCTTTCATTTATTTAGCATGTTTGATGGACTTTAGCATTAAATAAATAATTACATGGATAATAGCAGTGAGGAGCAATTGTAACAATAAACGTGACCACAAGTCTACAGAAATGAATGCATTTTGCATTTTTCAGATTTCTGATTGCATGTTATTAATATTTTGTAGTTTTACAGTTTGACAGGAATTGTGGCTTAGGTTCAGAAAGAACATCTATTGCCATGTATAATCATTTATTTCAATGTACTATTCTGATATACTGGTATGTTAAATAACAACTGGGCAGCGTGTTTTGCAATACCATTTTAAAAAGTGCTATCAATTAATGGACCTGGTGCCCTATTTATTGATGTACTTACATTTTAGTTTTGAGATGGTTTGTGAGAGTTTTTGTTACTGCTGTCAGCTTTTTAAAATATTAAGAAAAGCGTTATCTTGCAAACAGTGTAGAAAAGGCCATTTTAGACATACATTAGTTCTCAGAGAAACAAATAGAATGCTCGCTAGCTTTTGTTGTTCCAAGAAAACATCTCTCTTTTGTCTGTCTGTAGTTTGTCACTTGGGTGATAATACAAGTTTGTAGAAGAAAAACATTTCTGAAAAGAGCATTTTTTCACCGTATCCTTAAAATCACTCAATTTGGAATGTGTGCTTGGAATAATTCTATTTTGTGTAGCTTTTAACTGATACATTCTGCCAAGATTTTAAAACTAAAGTGCTAAGTCAATTACTTTTAACATAAAACATGGAAAATAACCATATGGAAATCCGAAGGCCTGAGCCAAACCAATTAAAATTGCTAAATTTTTTTAATGTCTAACTGCTGATTTGAACATAGCAAATTGTGAGTCACATTTGTTCTCGAATCATAGGTGATTGAAATCTTCCCATCACCAGGAGTAAAATGAAATAAAAAAAAAAAATCCCTGCCCCAATGGCTAGTCTGACTATTGGAGGTTTTATGCATGCCCTTCCCCCCCATGTCTAGGGAGCACCTCTGATGTAGTGGGAAGATCCTAGCTAGGCTCTAGCTTTTGAAGACTTAGATTCTAATTCCTGTTTTACCACTGGTGAGACAAATGGCCTTAGGCAAATAAGTGGTTAAACTTCTTGGGAATTCCATTTTGTAATCTGTCTGATGGTTATAAAATAATCATAAAGAGTTTTCTCACATGGTGGTTGTAAAGATTTAACAAGATTTTATATATGTCTTTATCCCAGCACAGTGGCTCACTGTAGTTACAGTCTGAATTTATTGTTCCTGAGAAGAGAATTGCCTGCTGGTTAACAACACAGCGAAAACTGGCTATTGCAGGTAAATGATGCTTAGCCAGTGAAGCAGAGAGACCACGTTTTCACAAATCTGAATCTGTGGATTTAGTGTCACCCATTCCAGGCTGATAATCTGTTTATAGACTATAATTAACACACATCAAACTAGGACTGTATGAAAACAAAGGCTATGTGTGGCATGTGAGGGATGTTAAATTCTTTCAAGTGTTTCTTTAAAAGTGAAAATGAATGAGAGAGTTAGAATTGAAAATAAAAATAGAAATGGAAATGGAAAGCTGACTCGCTTCCATATTTCCACCCTCTTGCTTTCCAATTCCCCTTGTGTGGTGCTGAGGGCTTATTTTACTTTAAGCAGACCCTTCGCTTCCTACCCCTGGTGTCCTTACCCTTGCTCTTCTGCGCGAGGCCGTGCATTCATTTCTGCAGGGCGTCCTTTCGTCTTTCCCAGGCAATGTGCAGTGACCGTTTTTATCTATTATGCAAGCTTGGGAGATTTTGGTTTTCTTTTCTTGATTACCTTAATGTTCCCTTTTGTAAATTAGGCTAAGGCATTTGGATGTAAATCAATCTTTGGAGTGATCTTTTATCTTTTTGTTTCTAGTACACGAATCCAGCAGCTGCAGGGGACTGTTTTTGGGTGTAAATCACCTGTGCAGTCAGAACACTTATGAAACAAATTGAGGCAACACCGGGATGCTTTTGTAATATAGGCTGTTTTCAAAGTTATTTTGTATAGACTTTGTCTCCTAGAGACCACTGTATCCTTACTGATTTTTAAACACCGCAAAATGTTTTTTCCTTTGTACTTAACTATTGGCACGGGAAGAACTGTTTACAGGGTCTGGGAGTTGGAGAGAATTGTTATTAACACATCTCTACCTATTTCCTCTGTCCAGAAGGAAAAAAAGGGAGGCCCTTTCAAAAGGTGGTGCGGGATGATTTTCTTATAATTAGGCCTCATGGTTCTTTTTTAAGATCTCAACGTGTGTCATTTTTATGTTGCTCTCTTTGTCTTTTGGCTAAATTTTATTGTTTTTCTAGGCTGCCACTTGACTTGGGTATTAGGGGATGGAGTTCTTTTATTAGGCCTAAGTTGTATGACTTTGGGGAGGGATTTGAATCTCTCCGAACCTGTTTCCTCAGCTGTAAAATGAGAAAATGGGACTAGGTGATTTCTAAGTGTCTTCCAGTT